TAGCCTCAAAAAAAAATCAAATTCCTAGAGTAAACTTAACAAAGGATGTGAATGACCTCTACAAGGAGAGATGAAGGAAGAAACCCTTGAAGAAAGAGATGGAGGAAGACTACAGAAGGTGGAAAGATCTCCCATGCTCATGAATTGGTAGAATTAACGTAGTAAAAATGCCTATACTACCTAAAGCAATCTACATGTTTAATGCAATTCCCATCAAAATCCCAATGACATTCATCACAGAGATTGAAAAATCTACCCTAAAGTTCATTTGAAAACTCAAGAGACCACAGATAGCCAAGGCAATATTCAGCAAAAAGAGCAATGCTGGAGGTATCACAATACCCGACTTCAAAGTATATTACAAAGCAAGAGCAATAAAAACAGCATGGTACTGGCACAAAAACAGATATGAAGACCAGTGGAACAGAATAGAGGACACAGATGAGAGTCCTCACAGCTATGGCCATCTTATTTTTGACAAAGGCACCAAAAACTATATGATGGAAAATAGACAGCCTCTTCAATAGATGTTGATGGGAAAAGTGGTTAATGCCTGCAAAAAACTGAAACTAGATCCATGTTTATCACCTTGTACTAGTATCAACTCAAAATGGATCAAGGACCTTCATATCAGACCTGAAACTCTGAAGTTAGTACAGGAAAGAGCAGGGCATACTGTGGAAGTAACAGGTATAGGCAAGGACTTCCTCAACAGAACCCCAGCAGCTCAGCAATTAAGAGAAAGGATGGATAATGGGACTATATAAAATTAAAAAGCTCCTGCACAACAAAAGAAATGGTCTCTAAACCGAAGAGACCACCCACAGAGTGGGAGAAAATATTTGCCAGCTATGCATTAGACAAAGGACTGATAACCAGAATATACAGGGAGCTCAAAAAACTAAACTCCCCCATAATCAATGAACCAATAAAGAAATGGGCAACTGAATTAAACAGAACTTTCTCAAAAGAAGAAATTCAAATGGCCAACAAGCACAGGAAAAAATGTTCACCACCTCTGGACATAAAGGAAATGCAAATCAAAACCACACTATGATTCCACCTCACCTGTTAGAATAGCTATCATCAAAAATACCACCAACAGGTATTGGCAAGGATGTGGGGAAAAAGAAACTCTCATACACTGCTGGTGGGAATGCAAGTTAGTGCAACCACTCTGGAAAACAATAATGGAGGCTTCTTAAAAACTAAACATAGATCTGCCATATGATCCAGCAATCCTAGTCCTAGGTATATACCCAAAGGAATGCAACTCAGGTTACTCTAGAGGCATTTGCACACCCATGCTTATTATAGTGCTATTCACAATAGCCAAGTTACGGAAACAACCAAGATGCCCCCCACTGACGAATGGCGTAAGAAAATGTGGTATTTATACACAATGGAATTTTACTCAGCCATGAAGAAGAATGAAATCTTATCATTCGCAAATAGATGGATGGAACTGGAGAAAATGATCTTGAATGACGTTAGCCAGGCTCAGAAGACCAAAAATCATATGTTCTTCCTCACATGTGACTTTAGATCTAGGCAAATGCAGCAATGTTGTTGGACTTAGGTCACACGATACGGGAGAAATGGGGATAGGTAGGAAACCCAAAACTTGAAAGTGTTTGATGTCCCCACTGCAGAGGAGCTAATACAGTAACCTTAAAATGACAGAGGTCAATATGGGAAGGTGACTATGAAGTAGTGAAGAGGTCAGGTAGAGATGAATCAATTTGGGTTGTAATGCACTTGTGCATGGAAGCAATGCTAGGAATCTCTCGGTATAGCTATTCTTATCTCAACTAGCAAAAACACTTTATCTTTCTTATTATTGCTCATGTCTACTCTTCAACAAAATTGGAGAAAAGGGCACAACAGGTTCTGCCTGGAAGTGAGGGGGATGGGGGGAAGTTTGAGGGGGTGGAGGTTAGGGAGGAGAAAAGGCCCAAACAATGTATGCACATATGGATACATGAATAAAAAATATAAAAATTAAAAATATTCCAACTTTAGTTACAAAAAGGTTAATTTATAGTTTGCTTAAAGAAAACACAATGAAATTTAAAATGTGATCACTTCTTGAGAAAGTATAAGCAGTCACTAATTCCTACTTACAATATTTTATATTTTTCAAATATGGAAAATAAAGTATCTTGGTGATGCTTCTCTTGATGTGAGAAGGAATAAGATGTAACAAAGTTGGGAAACTTAATTCTCTGTGATCTTTTAGCACTTATCACCATTTGATATATATTGATTTGTTCATTTATTGTCTTTCTTCCATCATGCAAATATAGGCTGTAAAATACAGACATTGTATCTATTGTGTTCATCATTTTATCTTCAGCTTTGGCTCATCAGTGCTCCAAACATATATTTGAAGTGAATAATTGAATATAATGCTAGAAGCTATTCAGCATTCATGTACTTGTATGATATTTATCTAATTGTTCTAAAGAAGAGAGGCTGGAGACTATTTACAGAGGAAATATTTGGGAAGAAACCAGAGATGTCGTTAAAGTTACAATGAGTTAATAATGACTATGAGAGAAATATCAGTCTGTTTTCAGGAGCCCATTTATAGATGAGTGTATACTAATCAGTGGAAATGATTGATAATGTACTTGGAGAAAACAGCTGCTCCGGCTTTCACTAGACTAGATTCTATGAAGAAATTAGAACCTGACAGTATTACAGATGATCTGTAAAACTTTAGAAAAGCATAGGAATTAGAAGCATCAGGTACTGTAGAAGATGGGGAGTGGAGAAGGGAACTGAAAACAGTTTCTGTGAAGTTTATATGAGGAGAAGTTAAATTCCCAGACCTCCATTCTGATCTTGCTTGGTGGCTACCTCCCTAACACTCACAGAAAAAAGAATACTTACTAGAGAAACTAAATGAGAGAATCTAGACTTAGGGCCACCGAACACAGAGCAAGATAGGGAGTGAGGTGCAGGACTAAAAACAAGGGGCTTCAGTAAAAGTCTGCTTCTGAATGTTGAAGCTCCAGTCCTTTCCTGCCCACTCCAGAATGCTGGTACCTCGGACATACATTCTGCAGGCAAAAGGACAGAGGATATGAGCAGTACAAAAAATAAAGGATGGATCATCTTAATGTATTTTATAGACATAGCTTCAATCAGTTTTTGAGTGCTTAACCATTGAGAGAAAGAGAATACATTGCATGCATAAAAAAAGGATAGGATGCTATAAAAAAAGAGCTATTGGAAATTAAGCTGATAATAAAATGATAACCAAAATAAAAATCTTTCTAAAAGGATTGGAAGGTAATGCAGAAGAAATCTATCAAAGGTGGGTAAGAAAAACAAACAAACAAAAACTCAAACCAAGAGTAAGAACATGGAAAACAGGAAAAAACTAAGAAAACCAGAGTGTCAGTGTAGGAAATCTAAATTGGATTAACAGAAATTTTAGAAGTGAAGAAGGAAATTATCGATAAATAATATAAAAGCACAAAAAAATATCTCCAGGGTTTGCTGTGCCCCAACAAAATAAATGAAAAAAAAATCTGAGAATAATGGTGAGAAAAGAAAGATCCAAACACTTTTTAAAAAGGTATATATATATAACAAAGGATTTTGAAGAACAGTCTGAGATTATTTGATAAGAATATTAGAAGTCCAAGACAATGGAGAAATGACTTCAAAATTCTGAAGGAAAATAATTTTTAGCCTCGAAGGATATATTATGCCAAAAAGTACAGTATGAGTAGAGTATAAAGATGCTTTTAGAAACAGTAAGTCTTTTTAAAAGTATACATCTTTTCTTAGGAAGCTATTAGAGGATGTGCTCCACCAAAATGATGAATAAAATCAAGATGATGATAAGGGGTCAAATATGGAAGAGAAATGACAGGAATTTTCAGAGCAACAAGTAGGAGGTATCTTTGGGCATCCTTGTTCCAGATGGAGCATTGTGGAGGGCTTTAGAATGTGTATCTCTAAGTAAAAAGAAATGTAACCAGTAAGTGTAGAAAGTGGCACTGAGAAGCATTTTATAAAGCTATATTAAGGATTACAGAATGATTTAGTCAAAGGTTTGAAGAAAAATAAGCAAATATTAAAATGAGGTATTTTACAATCCTCAGGAAAAACAAAATTGTTCAAGAAGGAAATGCTATCTTTTGCTCTAGAAGAAATGGATAGTATTAATAATGAAAATTCTGTAATAGGGATTAAGTCAACAATTATTTTATTACTGTATTGGGTTAGTGTCAGAGGAAGGCATAAGAGTTCTAATTCTCATCATCTATAAGAGGAAGCAACAGATAATGTATAAATGAATGAGAAAAGTTACAGCAGTGTATGAGTGTTTAGAAATATGGAGGTAAAATTCAGAGAATATGCTAAAAGAACTGAAACTGTCTGCTTTTCGTGAGAGGATATGAATTTCTGATTTTGAACATTACTTGATTTTCTATGTACACATGTTATTTTGAGAAAAGTAGAAATTTCCAATCACAAACATAAAAAATATTATAGACAATATAACATAGCAGGAAGAGCCAGAAATGAATATCAAAAACTATTTCATTTTGAGACAGGATCTTACTGTGTTATCCCAGGCTAGCCTCAAATTCTCTATCTTCCTGCCTCAGTTTCTTAAGTGTTGGGATTACAATTAGGTACTACCGTGCAGTATAAAAATAAGAAAACTATCAATTACTTATACTGTGATCTTGGATAAACCATATAACTTCTTTGAGTCTCAGCTTTATGTACTAGGGGACTTGATTTTTAATAGTCTTTCCAACTCTAAAGTTCTGATCCAATCACAATAAAATATATTTTTCCCCCTAGGAATAGAAAAAGAGAGAAACAAAAAGGGGAGGGAGGGAGAGAGAAACTTTCTTTCATGTTCTCATGGATACTTTTACATATTTTTTTGTTTGCTTTGCCAAGAGTCTTCCTGCTTTGCCTTGGTGTTAAAGTGGAACTAGCACATCCCCAACTTGGGAATCCTACTGTACCTGTGAGGCTAGTCTTCTCATAGCCTCCTCCTGCCGCCTGCGCATTTCTGGAGTTCCTGGGCAGCTTCCACTGGTGATAGATGAGTGGGCTGAAGGTGGCTGTGTAAGTGGCAGCTCTCTGTTGGCATCCACATCTAGATAAAAAAGAAGAGATGTTTGTATTAGATAATTATAAAACTCTGAACTAAATGAATATTAAATTCCACCTGTTCTATAACCCAGCAATTCCAACCCTAGCTACCTGCCCAAGGGAAATAAAAACACGAATTCACATAAAAACTTGTACCCAATGTTCAGAGAAGCACTATTTTTAATAGCCACAAAGTAGAAACAACTCAAATGTCTATCAACTGATGAACAGATAGTGTGGTATCTCTTTACAATAGACTAGTGCTTCATAATAAAAAAGAAATGAAGCCAGGTGCTGGTGGCTCACTCCTGTAATTCTAGCTACTCAAGAGGCAGAAATCAGGACTGAGGTTTAAAGCCACCCTGGGCAAACAGTTTGTGAGACCCTATTTTGAAAAACCCCATCACAAAATAGGGCTGGTGGAGTGGCTCAAGGTGTAGGCCTTGAGTTCAAACCCCAGTACCGCACCCCCCCCCCACAAATGAGATACTGATACGTGCTACACATAAATGGACCTTGATGTTAAGTCAAAGAAGTCAGTCACAAAAACCACAGTGCATGATTCTATTAATATGAAATGCCTAGACAGGGAAATCCATGGAGACAGAAAGTGAATTAGGGGCTTTCTGGGGTAGAATGTAGGGGGTCAGAGGTAAAGTGAAGATTTGCTGCTAAGAGGCATGAGTTTTTTTTAGTGGGATGAAAATGTTCTAAAATTAGATTATAGTGATTGTTATGCAACCCTGTAAATATACTAAAAATGCTGAATTGAGCAATTTATTTGTATGTTTTGTCTGTTTGCTTTTTGAGACAGGGTCTTGTTATGTTGCCCAGGCTGGCCTTGAACTGTCAATCTTCCTGCTCCACCTCCTGAGTGCTGGGATTATATGGCTTGCATCACCATATCTAGATCTGAATTGGGCACTTTAAATGGATGAATTATATGGGTTATAAATTATTGTTCTATAAGATTTTAAAAAATACACTGAAAATTCCATTTGTTCCTGTTATTTAGAAAATGTATTCTTATATACTACTAGAAATTATAGGCTATTATGAATAAGATCATATTTTTAAAATAGGTACTAGAGGCTGAGTGCATAGCTTAAATGGTAGACCCTGAGTTCAAATCCCAGTACCGCCAAAAAAAAAATACCTAAATTGTTATTTGGTAGCCAATAGCTATTGAAAAGAAGGAATAACAGGGGACCGATAGTCCTTATTTAAATCTGTACCAGTAAGAGTGAATTTAGATTTCTTTTATGCAACTGGTAAATTTCTTGGTCTTTGATAAAGTTCTGAATAACTGAATAATTGCAGTGGTGTAGGAACAGTGAAAAACGTCTGAAGAAAGGTATGACTTTTAAGTTGAGGTAAAATTCAGGGATTGTCACTGTATTACTTTTGCTGTTCACTCTTTACTGACTCCATTCCTCTTTATCTGGAATTTCATTTTGTGAGTAATCACTGTCCAAATACTCTGTCTTCTCATTATTCCCTTCTGGAGATGCCCTTTTTTTTGTCTGAGTGGCTTACTTTGGTATTCTGAGAACAGCAGAAATAAAAGTTAATAGGTAGGTGGTAGAGTACACAACAAATTGGCAAAACAGACTTCTGAAATGAGAAGAGTAGAGAGGGTAGGGCTTAACTTTGCAGCTGTTTGGGTGCTTGACAGCTGTTGACAAATGTCAAATTCAAGTAACTACCTTGGGACTTTTAGTGATAGGGAAATACAGTTTTGTATTAGACAGAATTTCCCTAACTACTGTATTGAGTATACCTACAGTGAATATAATGTCTGAATTACACAACAGGTCTATTTTCACAAAATGTTTGTTCTTTGTGTGTGTTGGGGGTGGGTGGGTGGTGGTGGCAAAGAATGATGGGGGAGTTAAATGTGGGAAAGCAGGCGGAAAATAGGATGACAGGCTAGTGTCTGTCTTGACAGCTTTTCTGTACTTTCCAAGGGAAATGACAAGGAGGGGGCAGGCTGAAAGGCTGTCTGTGGAGGAAGGAGAGTCAGGCAATGAAGTACTGAATGCTAAACTGCTCACATCTTCTGCAGCAGTACTGTTCAGTGTGGAGGAGGCACAAAAAAGAACAACAGATGAGGCAGAGAGAGAAGTTGAAAGCTCTATAACTTTTCATTTATATTTATTATTACTATAATTACATCATTGGTGTCATTGTTGGGGATTAGGAAAGCCAGTGGGATTCCAATAAACCTATCCAAGTTTAATGTAAGTAAAACTGTAAATGATTAAGCTCAACCTCTGACATAATTTTTATTCATTAATGAAAACAACTGTGCTTCTGCAAGTAACATTTTCAGTGTCAGCTCATATGGTAATACATTTATGCTGAAAAATAGTTTGCATTAAAATTGTATCATTATTCTTGATTCTTCTTTAAGGACTATTAAGTGGTAGAGGCAGACTAGTTTGAATGTGAACAGATTAAAACAAAAACTACTTTAAGGCAATGCTGATTCTATGTAATTCTGATAGCCATATACCACACATTCTAACTTCCCTGAGAGTTTTTCAAGTTTTGAAAGTTAGTTATCTGGTCAAATCCACAGTTTCAACATACATGAATGGGGAGTATCCTCTTGTTTTTGGATATAATCAGGAGATAGAAGGCAATGGCTGTTAGAGAATAATTTAATGAACTACCTTTAAAGAATGTCTGCTTTGGGAAGAACACAGACTGTTTCTATTTTGCTCTGTTGAGTTTATAGGGGGGACTGAGAGATACTACGGCTTTCTGAGAAAGCAGCTCTTATTGGTCTTGGGATTTATCTTCTGCATGCATTATTCTACCATTGTTATTCACAACAGTGATATATGGAGGAGTCAGACAGACTATTAGCTATCTGGTTTTTCTTCTGACACACTCAAATCACCTTACTTCTTGGACTACTCAGGTAAGTAATAGTATGGTGTGATAAATATTTAAAGGAAAATACTTAAAGGAAATCACTGGAATAGGTATGGAAATTTATGTCCAACCATGAAGACATGTTATTTGAATCAAAATTTTGACACAGAAGCTATTTGTTTGTTTTTTTTTTAAAAACTTATTTTTAAGGTGCTAGGGACTAAACTCTGGGCCTTGTGCATGCTAGGCAACCACTCTACCACTGAGTTAAATCCTTAGCCCTAGAAGCAATTGTTAAGGATCAGCTAGTCATACTTCTTCACTTTTCAGATGAGAAAACTGAGATCTAAATTAAAGCAAAATTCTCAAGGTCACAGAGTATTATATAGTCAATTTGAGTGCTGGGGCACATATCCTGGGTTCATGACTTTGTTAATCTATGACAAGTACTTCTTTTAGAATCCAGGCATGGTAGTCCTCTTAAGACAAGAATTCTTGCATACAATTTCTTACCATACCCTGGTAAAGAGGGTATTTTGATTCAACCAGTTTTCATCCTAGACACTAGCTCCATGTTAAACATTAGCAAGTTTCCCAGAGGCACTCTACTGACTTGATGTAAGGCTACTAAGTAATTTCAGTGGGAAATCAAGATGTCTGGAGGGTATTCACTGATTCTTACTAAGTTTCTAGACCTGTGACTACTATGATCTCACATAAATCATTTCTAGTGGTTATTATCTGAAAGTGTGTGGTGAGCAGAATCTTTCTTTTTAGTTCTCTGATAATCAACAAAAAATAGGCAGACTAGTTTGCACAGGAAGAACACTTACACATTTTCATTACTTGAATTTAATTTTACCAATAAGGAGAGGTAGCATAGAAAAATAGATGAGAGAATGGCTTCTGAAACCAGACTGCTAAGTTTGACCACTTACTGGCTAAAACCTGAGAGGGCTTACATAACCTCTTTGAGCCTCAAATTACTTAGGAAATGAAGACAGTACGAACTACCTTATGGAGTTGATAATGATTGGATGCATTAATATTTGTAAGGCATTTAAAGACTGTCTGGCACATAGTAAGTGCTATATGAGTGTTTTAAAAACTAAATTATCAAGATTCTGGTGATGATAATTAAGCTTATGATGAAAGAAGCCTGAATATATATGAGAACTCTGTACTTTTTCACAAGGAAGCAGGAGAATCCCCAAGGAAACAATGACACTCAAGTCCAAGCACTTCAACACTGACATCAGTAGCAAAGAAATGGAGGTCACAAACATTGTGCTGGCAAACAAGAAGAAATGGGCACAGCCTGAGCAAAACTGACAGTGATGGATGTAAATGGATCCATGGGCAATCACTGTAGTAATTTATCCAAGGGCAGACCAGCCATATAGCCAACAGGTAAGAGTCACAAATTTATTTCACAAGAAAGGCTTTTCAGTCACACTTAGGTGACTTTGATATATGGGTTAGATGTAAACAGAGTATTATATTTTTTGAACTTTGAATTAATGGTCCTCATATGCAAGTCAAGTTTTACAGATCTGAAAACAAAAGGATATGTAACCTAATATAAATATGTCAGAAAAAATTACAAAGCTGACTGGGGATGTGGCTCATGCTGCAGAGTGCCTGCTTTGCAAATGTGAAGCCCTGAGTTCAAACCCCAAACCAAAAACAACCAAACAATCCAACAAACAAAAAACAACCAGCCAACCAACCAACCAGCCAAACAAACAAATTACAGAGCCAAAAAAGCAGGAAATTCTTTAAAAAGGAATACATACGTTTGGGAGAGGCATGTGGACTGTCTGAGGCGATCTGTCTCATCCTTGTACCATGGCAGCTGAGGGCCACCAGTCTGGAGATGATGGCAGTTTTGCCAAACCCAATGTTTCCCACAATCACTACTCCTTGGTTCACAGTGGCATTTGAACTTTGAAGTTGAGCATCTATTTCGTGGAAAACCCAATCCCGGCCAACAAATACTGACTCTGTAGTGATGCTGGGCACTTCAAAGAGTAGAGGCTTCAGGGAGATATCTGGAGGCCTATAAGGTGCAAAGCGAACTGAAAAGAACAATAAGAAAACATAGGTCAAACTGTCAACTGTGAGAAATAGAGGAAAAAAAAGTAGTGTGGTTTAGAAGACTATTAGAATTATAGTATGATGGCAGTTCATACTGGTATTTTTTTTCCTCCCCCAGAAAATAGTAAAACTGTAGCTGGGTTCTGGTGGCTCACAGCTGTAATCCTAGCTATGTGGGAGGCTGAGATCAGGAGGATTGTTGTTTGAGGCCAGCCTGGGCAAAAAGTTAGCAAGATCTCATCTTAACCAATAGTTGGGCACAATGGCATGTGCTTTCATCTCAAGCTAAGTGGGAGTCTGAGATGTGGAGGACTGAGATTCTAGGACAGCACAGTCAAAAAAGAAAAAAGAAAAAGCAAGAGTTTCTCAATGGAAAAGCTTGGTGTGGTGGTGTGGGTCTGTCATACCAGTAAAGGCAGGAAGTGTAAAATAGGAAAATCAGGGTCCAGACCAGCCTGAGCAAAAAGCGAGATCCTATCTCCAAAATAACCAGAGCAAAATGGGCTGGGGGTGTAGCTCAAGCAGTAAAGTACCTGCCTAGAAAGTGTGAAGCCCTCAATTCAAACCCCAGTACTGTAGAAAGAGAGAGGAAGGGAGGGAGGGAGGGAAAGAGGGAGGAAGGAAGAAAGAAAGGAAGGGAAGGAGGAAGGAAGGAAGGAAGGAAGGAAGGAAGGAAGGAAGGAGAAAATATTGACATATTGAATAATGTTGGTTCTATACAAATAAGCAATGCAGGTATGCTAGAGTCATTTGATACTGCAGAAGGAAGAAGGCAAACATTGAAAGAACAGTAATGCTTTACTCACGATGGTAAGAAAGTAAGGACAACATTTAAAATTATTAAACAATGCAGATGGCTCATGCATCTGCAATCACTATGGATGTAATAGTAAAGAGGGGTCCTAAAGACCTCTTTCTATGCCTGGAGATAATCTTTTAATGTTGGATTGTGGGGAGATGCAGTTCCTGGGGTAGGTTATCCTGAGGCATCTAGACAGCTTATGATATCAGCTTTTTATCAACCAGTAAGGACAGATCTCAGTATTTAACAACCAATATGGCTGTACTAGTACATATCAGTCGAAAACTGTCCTGTAGAAAGCAATGCAAAGTAAATAGGTTTGCTGTTTCTTTAAAAACACCAACGAGAAGAGTAATACCTTTAAGTTCATGATGGTATTTTATTTTTTAATCTAATAGGTATATTATTAGGGAAAGTAAAGCCCCTAAAATGGTTTAAAATGTCTTAAACATGTTAAGAAGTTAAGGAAGCAGAAACCAAACTTTTGCCCAATGTCATTGCACCTCTATTGCTTGTGTTCATGCCATTTTTTTCTAAAAAATGATAGAGACCCATGACTTTTCTCAAGCCTTTGTTCTGTGCTTATATAATTATGGGATATGTCAAAGGCCAATCAAGAGTGATACTTTCGATAGTTCTGTAAAACTGCACAATAGATGTGATGTGGTTTCAAAGATCAAAATTCTAATTATCTTGATGATAAAAGGAAGTCTTGTCTGACTGTTCTTATCTGGGTTAAGTTCTTCCTAACTGTTGTACTAATAGCTCTACATCATTTTATCTGTCTGGAACCAGGTATTTCATTTTTGTATTATTAACTTTAGCATAAAGCCTTGACACATAGTGGGTGCTCAATAAACGCTTATGGAAAGAATGAAAGAGAAGACCTTATACTTTGGAGCATAAGAAAGGCTAAGAGTGGGAAGGGGCTGGAGACAGTAGAAAAGGACTCATAAAGGGGAAGATGAGATATGTTTATACTATCCCACTATTCTAGAACATACTTAGCCACTTATACATATCATAAAATGGAAATCTGAAGTTGGTACCTTACTCCAGAAAACACACATACACATAACTGAAAGTCATTAGAATGACAAATGAGCATGTGAAAAACTGTACAAACAATTAAAAATGTAAAGCCAGACTCTGATGACAGAAGCAAACAATTCCCTACCAGTTTTTAAATGCCCAAATTTTCCTTTTAAAAAAAGGGTGTGTGGGAGGCTTTGGAGACATAGCTATATTGTCACTTATAATTTCTTGATTCACATTTCTTTAGAAAAGTCTACTCTTTAATAATCCATAACTAGGGGTTGGGTGTTTAACTCAATAGTAAAGGACTTGCCCACCATGCTCAAGGGCCTGGGTTTGATCCCTAGCACTGTAAAAACAAAACACTTGTAACTATAATTACAGAATTCGGCAAAAAAATCAGACTCTAATTTGCTAAAAAAGTTTTTAAATTCTAGTGTCTTGCAGGTAAGATTTTTACTTTACGTTCCTTAAATATTATTTTATTGAGATAAAATTCAAATACCACAAAATTTACCCTTTAAAGTACACGGGTCAATGATTTTTAGTACACATATTCTACCCTCTCCATCTAGCCACTGGAAATCAGCAATCTGCTTTCTCTTTCTCTTCATATTTGCTTATTTTGCAATTTCATAAAAATAGAATCACATAAAATTTCATAAAATAGAATCTTTTGTGTTGGTTTCTTTTGCTTAGCATCATGTTTTTGAGGTTCACCTAAATCAGAAACATGTACCAGTACTTTAGTCTTTTATTACCAAATAAAATAGTATAGGTATACTATATTTTGTTTATCCATTTATTAATTGATGAACATTTGTGTGGTTTCCACTTTTTGGCAATGAACATTCATGTACTAATTTTTAAATAACTATATTTTTGATTCTCTTGACTATATACCTAGGAGTGGTATATAGTAGGAGAGTCTATGTTTAACTTTTTGAGAAACTGCCAAACTACTTTCTCTATTTTATTTTTACTATTTTTATATAAATAACATACATTACCTATAGAAAACAAAATAACTGTTTTCCCATTAGCCAAACAGAAACACTATTAATGCATATTCTTTCTGAGCTTTCTTTGTACCATATTTTTAAAACAAAAAATTGGGTATCTCCTAATCTGTTTTTTTTTCACTTAGCAATATAAAGTGAGCATCTTTCTACATAAAAACGTAAATCTACATTACCATTTCAAATAAATGTAGAATATTTTATTATATGATTAAATCATAATTAACCCATATGTTATTGTTGGTTAAATTAGTTTAATTGGGTTTTCCATTGTTATACAACTTACAATAGAAGGGTCCTTATACTGAAAAGACCTGTTCCTAAGCATGAAAATGTACACAGTAGTCTTATGAAGTAGATATTACAATCTCCATTTTAAGATGAGGAAAATGAGGCAGAAAGAGATTAAACTATTTGCCTAAGGTCTTTCAGCCAGCTGAACCCTATAGGCTCTAGTTCCTTTCATGAGAAGCAGCACTATAAGCACTATAATACAGTATTTACCTTGGCAGTACTGCCTTACTATTTTCTAGAAACAAAATAGTGCATGTTTTGGGACAAGAGAATTTGATACATCTTGCCCAATTGCTTATCAGAAAGGCTATGTTGGTAATGTGAGAAAGACCATGATTGGGCACTATCATTATTCTTAATCTTTTTAAAATCTAGTATCTTTTGGACTGTGGAAGGTGATTTTTCTTAGATGTTTATTGGCTATTTGTAATCTTTTGTGAATTTCCTGGTCATGAACTTTGCTTATATTTCTATTGGGGTCCCTGTCTTTCTCTTGTTGATTTGTAAGACCATTTAGGACATTAATCTTTTGCTTGTCACATTTCTTTATTGCAAATAATTATCCAGGTCTCTGCCTTTAAATTTTCTTTCTTCCTTTTATATTTTTTTGAACTTGTAAAAGTTTAAAAAGTTTATGTGGTCAAATTTGTCAGTCCTTTTCTTTATGATTTCTGTCTTTAATACACCTTTACATTTTTTATTAGCATGTATTAACTGTACAAAATGAAGGGCTTCATTATGCCATATGTATACATGTATATAATCATATTCATCCTCCAATTACCTTCTCTTGTGCTCCATGAGGAGGACATGATTTCACAGAGAAATAAGGAGTAATACTTAGCAGATGACACTTTGAGTTTAAAATCTTGTTTGTTTCTAGGAATTTATTCTCAGGAAATGATTCACAACACACACGCACACTTGCATTCTTTGCAGCATGCATGGTGTCAGTAAGAATGATTTAATACATTATGGTATACTGACCAAAGATTATACAGACAATGAAAATATAAAATAATAAAGATGTTTGCAGAATCATAGAAATGTAGAAATATTTATGATATAAAATTTAGTAAATTAGTAGCATATAAAACAAAATATATATTATGATTACAACTTAAAAGTATATGCAGATGGAGAAGTCATGAAGAGATGACATGATCTGATCAATGATGTCTTTAACTCTAACTTTCTAAAAATAAATTTCCACAGCTAGTGGCTCACACCTGCAATCTTAGTTATATGGATGGTAGAGATAGGAGGATTAAAATCTGATGATGGCCCTAAGCAAAAGCATGATACTGTATCTGAAAAATAGCTAAAGCAAAAAGGATTCATTTTTTAAATGAATTTTGGCTACATTTAAAAAATAAAAAAAGAATTGTTATTTTACCCATAGACAGAAAAGAAGCAAATATTTCATCAAAATCACTGATTCTTCTAACATGGACTGATATAAATACAGCTAATCTAACAACTAATTAAATTATACCAGTTAACCGAAACAAATCTATACAGTTTGGATATTTTTGTCCTATAGTCATTGTGTATAGATTTATTACAAATGGAAAAAGATGTATCTAATTTAAGATTTTAATTATTTTAGCCATAGGCTGAGCATCCCTAATCCAAAAATCTGAAATCTGAAATGACCCAAAACTTGAAGCACTCTGGTCCAATGGATTTTGCATAAAGGATCTTAACTTGTACTTTAGAATGTTTAAAAAATACAAATGTATAAAATCAATTCTTTATGCCAAAATAGTCTGAATGCCAGGCTGAATAGTTGGTTTGTATTTCCTTTCATAGGCAATGATGACCCTTTTAA